CCGGTGGCCGGGCGGGCGGGAGGGTGGGCTGGGGACCTCTGGCCGCGGGATCCCTGGCCGTGACGGGACCCCCGCCTCGATTCCCCCTGACCCCTGGTGTCGCGGATGCCCCGGGGCGCGCGTGACTTCCACGCGTTGCTGGCGGATGCCTGCTTTGTGTCACCTGAGGAGCTGAGGACCTCGCGCGGATTGCGGGGAGGGGGGTGGCGGCTCTTCCTTCCCTCCTGCATTTGGAATTCTTGGAGTCCCTTGGTTCCAGCCTGAAAGTTAGGCTACTACGTGCCCCGGTCCCCAGAGGTTTGCAACCCCCACTTAAACTGCCATTTCACCTCGTGGTCTCCCTAGTTACTCCCCCTCCTCTGGGGGGTGGACAAAAGCGAGGAGGGGGTTTGTGGCTTGGCTAACTGTCCAACGTTGAGTTTTACGGGTACGGCGAAGCTCCTGCTGGGAGCCGTGCCCCTCCCGGTGCTCTCCCCCCTGCAAGTCTCCTTCGCCTGGGATGGTGCTTAGTTTTAAATAGAAGTCCTTTGTATAAGGCAGCTAAAACTACATGCAAATACTGGCAATTTGGCCGGAGAGCTTGCCCCCTCCTCCCGGTCCGCCAGCTGTGCTTGGTGGTGGAGGTGGGAGAAGAGCGAACCTGCTCGCTGGGAGCATTTATCTTATTGGATTTCTGTCACTGTCTCGGTCATTCTGTGCAGTCTTCATTAACAAGGGAGAAAAAGAACTTTGGACCTTCATGGGCTGAGAACAGCTTTTGACGCCGCCTCAAAATAATGGCGGCAGCTTTGTTTCAGTGACCTCAAAATGTAGTTTTGGAAACAGCCAAAAGATTCTTATCCCACCCTGTTATCTTAGACTACTTAAGCTAGATAATGGTCCTCTGAAAGTGATGCTGTGGGTTGTCACGTGTTTTCTTGTCTTGCCGTTTTCTAGATTATTTGTGTATTTATTGAGCATCAAAGTGCTTTTACTTAATTCATTGTTTTCCTGATGAAATTCAAATGTTAGCACACAAGCATATGGCTTATGTCTCCCAGCCTTTAAAGTCGTAGAACACGAGCAAGGACTGGATATGTCCGTGTATCTCTTTTGCAAGGCTGTGTGCTGCTGAGGTTTGTGCAATGGCTGTTTTGGCATTTTTACTGTTTCTTTGGTGATAGAACAGAATAGTATGCACATGAATTTGAGCCAGTCCTTTCTGGTTGTGACTGGTCGTTCACATTTATTTCAGCATTGTCTTGTACAATAGCACCTTTTTGTCGCCGTGAATCTCCAGATTGTGAGTGGCACATTCCTATTGTCCGCTTCAGGGGAGCAAGGCCGTGTGTGAGGAGAATTCCACTGCAGTCAGTGTTTATGGTGCTGTTTTCATTTGTAGACTTGGCATTCTTGATTTGAACCAGATGCCTTTGGCGTTCTTCTGCTTTTCCTAGCAATAGGAAGCACTAGGTGGCGGTGTGAGTTAGCGCAACCAATCTGTCACCTTTGGAAACCCAAGCTGAGTTCAGATCTTGATGGGCTTTCCCTCGAGGGTTTTGGATTCTGCCAGCTCGCATTATACTTGGCACTGGCTATTAGTATTAATTTCTCGCTTTCAAAGGCCCTAAGACTGATTAAGCCCCACTAAGCAACTAATAGAAAACAAAATTCTGTAGGCCATGACATTTGGCCAGAAAACCTCACCTAAGAAAGATTATAGTGTATTGTAGGAAATCTGTTACTCTGTGACTTCAAGAGCCCGCTGTGAAGGATTTTCTTTAAACTGGCTGTACACCAGATGATTCAAAGTCTGTGCAAATTCCTTGCCCTTTCCTATAAAAAGCCACAGTTTGTATAGATTAGTAAAAGCTAAGAGCAAGTTTTGTCCTTTCCTACAGTACTGGGCATTGAACAAGGGGCTAGTGCACACTAGTCAAGCTCCCTAGCCCTGAGCTACAGCTCAGTCATATGTAGTTTTAGTATTATTATTATTATTATTGTGTGTTTGGTGTGTGCAAATGAGTGCAGCTGTGTGCCCCCGCTTTCCTGTGGAGGTCAAAGGACGACTTTCCGGAGTTGGTTCTCTCCTTCCAGTGTGGGTTCAGGGGACTGAATGCAGGTCACCAGGCTTGAGCAGCAAGCTTTTTACCACTGAGGCATGTGCTGCGGGTCCTATGATCATTATTTTTAATGGACCAACTTTGTATCACCAAAAACTACAAGAGAGTTTAGAGACAGGGCCTGCCTTGCGTTCTCAAAGTGCTGATTTCAGATTACCCAGCAGCTTCTGATCTAGAAGGGCTTGGTGACTGTTTAGATGGGTGGCTTGAGTAGACTTGGCCATCCAGAGTGCCCATTTTCTTTCCTCTGCTTCTTCCTGATCAGAATTGCTTGAGGAGAAGAGATGCCGGGTTGTTGAATCAGTTGCAAGAACTTGACAAGCAGATAAGTGACCTGAGACTGGATGTTGAAAAGACGTCTGAAGAGCCGCTGGAGACCGACAGCCGGCCTAGCTCAGGTGAGCCAGCAGGGCCCCTCAAGGGAAGCACACTAGCAAAGGGCTGTGGAGTTTATTTCCAGTGTGGACACAGTTGAAGAGCAGCCTGGCATCCAGCTGCTGGAGAGGGAAATAAATTCAGTCTACAAAATTTTCAGTAATGAGATGGAGCTGCCCAATGTCCCCTGAGTCCAGAAAATACAAAGATCTATTCAGGTTTCTGGAAGAGCAAACAGACCTTCTTTGGAACCTGAGAAAGTCAGCTCTGGGCTAGAAAATGATCACTTCAGCTTCCTGAGGTCACTGCAATTTCTTCTTCTTTTGAGCCATTTGGCTCCTTGAGTTTCTTTTTCTCTTAGAGTTACTTATCTATTTCCTTCAGGTTTGTTTGTTTGTTTTTTGTAGCCCAGACTGACCCTGAATTCACTCTTGTCCTCCTGCTTCAGCCTTCTGAGGGCTGGGATTATAGGCACGGGTCACCAAATCCAGAGACCTTAGTGACTCCTTCTGAAACATGATTGAAGTTGAGGTTCTTCAGATTTACATACCTTTAAAAGAGGAACAAAGAGGAGGATGAAGTAACTTTGAGCCATACCCAGAGTTACATGGTTTTTGCCTTTTCTAAGGAATATTTGAAATAAAACCATATAACCAGGACCCTAAAATCCACAATATGTGTGAAACGCCCCCAACAATCTAAAACAAAACCCAGCTTTTCTTTTCTTTGATGCCTTACCCTTTTGTCTTTTTAGATGGAAATGTGTATTATTGCTTAATATGATCTTAATTTCAACCCTCTTTTTACTCGTAGGGTTTTATGAGCTGAGTGATGGGGCTTCAGGATCCCTTTCTAATTCCTCTAACTCCGTGTTCAGCGAATGTTTGTCCAGCTGCCATTCCAGCACCTGCTTTTGCAACCCCTTGGAGGCAGCTTTGACGATCTCAGACGGTTGCCCCAAATCTGCAGGTAAGGATGTTTAGCACTGACAGAGATTTTAATTGGGAGAGGTCAGGGGTCTTTAAAGTTATGCAGCTTCAGCTGCTTTCTTGATAGGAAAATGGTTTGGTCAGCGTGCCACAGTTACACATAGAGCCTACACGTTGATCTAGATCAACGTCTAGACTAATCAACTTGGGGTGCCATTTGGTCTTATATTATGGAATTAGAAGGACACTTTGCCTTTAGAGGAATTGTCCCCATATTAGAGACACTGGGCTCTGTTTCTTTGCTGTTTAATCCCTCCCTCCCCCTCTCACTCCTTTCTGATGCTGGTGATTGAATCCAGGTTCTTGCACATACTAAACACATACTATGCAATCTGCAGCCCCAGTTTTACATTCCTTTTTGTGTTTCTGGGGTACCCCTTGGCATGCTACCCGAGCTACATCTCTGGCCCTTTATTTTCTTTTGAGAACTATCCTGGAACTCTTTTATTCTTTATTATTATTATTATTATTTTGGTTTTTCGAGACAGGGTTTCTCTGTGTAGCTTTGCACTTTTCCTGGAGTGCACTCTGTAGCACAGGCTGGCCTCAAACTCACAGAGATCCGCCTGCCTCTGCCTCCCAAGTGCTGGGATTAAAGGCGTGTGCCACCACAGCCCAACTATTCTTTAAAGTACACATTAAGTTACATCCATCCATCCGTCCGTCAAGCCAAGGGCTGTTGACACTCCAGGGAGCAGTGGCCCTGCCATGTTTCTCAGAATACCCCACATAGTGAAATTCCCCATAATCTGTATGTTATAATTCTCCACCCCAGGCTTCAGAGATCATCGTGACTTTGTCTACTTTGAGTCCTCCAAACAGTTTTCAGGGTGCAGTTGTTAACCTTTGGGGTGCAGTTATGTATTAAGAAAATGAGAGCCTGGAGAGAGGGCTCAGCATTTCAGAGCGATTACTGCTCTTGCAGAGGACCTGGGTTCAGATCCCAGCACAACTATCTGTAACTCTTGTTCCAAGGGATCTGATGGCTCTTCTGACCTTTGCAGGCTCCTGAACACATGTGGTACATATACACACACTCAGGCATATACGCATAAAACTAAATGTTAGAAAAAGAAGAAAAGGAGGCCAAGTAAGGTTATTTCATTGATTTAAGGCTATATAGCTGGGCACAGCAGGATACCAACTCAGGTCTAATTTATTCCAAGGGAATAATTCCTTTGGGTCTAATAATTTCAAGGGAATTCAGAAATGGTTAAATTCAACCATCTCATCTGATTTTTTTTTTTTAAAAAAAGTGGCCTACCAGCCAGCAATTGCCAGAAGCTCGCACCTGCTGAATGAGAGTTGTCCCTGAAAGTCAGAACTCCCCCTTATTCCTGTTATGTTTTGGTTAACTTAGAACAGCAGAGGAAATATGAGGATCAGAGCCGCGGGAGCAGCAGGAATGGGCCACTGTGCTCTAGGTTGCTCATCTGAGTACAAGGCTGACATTTTGAGTCCAGGCAAAGCAAGCATCACACTGAACAGCTGAAGTTGCTAATCGGTGAAGCCCTTGCATTTGTACAGTGTGTGTTATCAGCAGCAATCAACCATTTGGGATGAGTACAGAACTGTTATCTGGTATCTGGGCCTCAAGTTCATTGCTAATTGCTCCCCATCACTCTGCAGATCTGGTTTCAGAGGGAAACTTTATAACCCCATTAAAAGGCACTTTGGGCAGGTTTTTCTTGAAGACAGACTCCTAGCTCTTCCAAACACCACAATCATTACATAATTGAGACAGTTGGGCCAAGCCTTGGGGCCGTTTGTTTCTACTCTAAGTCTAGAGGAAGATAAATGGAGACTCCTAGGCAGATGTGACTTTAAGGCAAAAAAGCAGGTTTAAGATACCAGGGGAGGGATGGTGGGAAACAATGTCAGCTAGAGAGGTCTCCTTTTTCTTTTTTTTTTTTCCTGTCCTTTCTTTTCTTCAGAGGTCTTTGTCCTTCTTTCTTTCTGCATCTCCAGGCGCCCCTGCACCTGTCTCTCTTCCTGCTGGGATTATAGGTGCTCAGAACCACCCTGGGCTTTCCTTCTGTTAACAGGCTCTTTATTAGAGGTCCAGTAGGACAGACATGGCATTTTCATTAAACAAACAAACAAAAATGCTCTTTACACATTTTATCATCCTTGAGTCTGGATTTTTGTTTTGTTTTTTCCTTCCAAGACTGCTAATTATTGAAGGTCATAAAGCTTTCCCCTAAACAATTAACACAGAATTTGATACATAGTAGGTTCTCACTATTTAAATTGATAGATAAAACAGAGGAAAACTAATTTCCCTAACTGAAGGTCATAAAAAGAATTTGTTATGTATTCCAAGTTAGAAACCAACATTTAACTAAGGGCTTTGTTTCATTGTATTTTGACATGTACATTTTTGAGATGAAAGAAATTTCTCCTTAAAAAAATTATATATATATATATATATATATATATATATATATATATATATGCCTGCATGTATGTATGTGCACCACATGTATAGTGTCCACAGAGGTCAGAAGAGGGCATCAGATCCTCTAGAGCTGTAGGGTGGCTAGTAGCCATGTGGGTGCTGAGAACTGAATCCAGGTCCTCTGAAGAGCAGCAAATGTTAACTGCCGAACCTTGTCTGCAGCCCAAGGAATTTATACTTTAAAACTGCCCAGTCTTTAAAAATCTGGCCAGAAATTCCTTATCCTATTAAAATATTGTTTGTAGCGTCACTACTGAAGACACAGCAAATGTTATATTTTATTAGCTGTTAGTGTAATATGATCTGGGGACTGGAGAGAAGGCTTGATGGTTCAGAGTGTTCTTGTAGAGACCCACTTTAGGTGGCTCCCAACTGCCTCTAACTCCAGCTTCAGAGGATCTGATGTCCTCTTCTCATTTCTGTGGGCACCTGTGCTCATGTGTGCTAACGTGTACACACACGCACACACATACATAGTCTATAGTTATTGGAAACAGAGAAGAAAGTAACCATTGCTTCCCCCTCCCCACACTGGAAGGCTGTTAGGATTTTGGTGTGCTTTACTTCAGAGTTTCTTTACATAGGTATCTTGAAAATTATACTGACTTACACCATGACTTTTGCTAAGGTTTACGAAGTGTTTCCTTACATTATTCAGTAATTTCAAAGCATTATACATGGCTAACTATTTTTGTTAAAGACGTGATAGTTTGTCAAAGTTGTTGACTATTTTTTGCCCTCACTCAGTAAGCCATGAACTTCATGTAAACTTGTAGGAGAGTTAGTGTGGAGTATTTCTCAATCCTTTGGTATTCGTCCTCTGCCTGTAAGTTTCTTAGTAAAATTTGGCCAGTCAAGTTGGCTCTACCAATTCATTTCTTCAGTGTCCCTTTACGTGTTTTTCAGATCTCATAGGATGGTTGGAATGTAAAGGCGGCCACTGTGAAGACCAGGCCTTAGGGGGAGTTTGCAGTTCCCCCTCCACACCACAATTTAATTCCCTTGATGTCATTGCAGATGTGAATCCTAAATACCAGTGTGACCTTGTGTCTAAAAACGGCAATGATGTCTATCGATATCCCAGTCCACTTCATGCTGTGGCTGTGCAGAGCCCAATGTTTCTCCTCTGTCTGACGGGCAACTCTCTGAGGGAAGAGGAGGGGCTTGGGAACCATGCCAGTGACCTTTGCGTCGGGTCAGAACTGAATGCCATCAAAACAGACGATTCCTTGCCATCTCCGAGCAGTTTGTGGCCGACTTCCCATCCTTCATCCAGTAAGAAAATGGACGGCTACATTCTGAGCCTGGTCCAGAAGAAAACACACCCCGTAAGGACCAACAAACCTAGAACCAGTGTGAACGCGGATCCTACCAAGGGGCTTTTGAGGAACGGCAGTGTGTGTGTCCGGGCCCCTGGCGGTGTCCCACAGGGCAGTGGTGTGAACCTTAAGCATGCGACACCGATGATGATGTGTCTGCCCTCGGGGGGAATGTCCTCTTTGGAAAACGGGCCATTCTCCCCACCGAAGCAGAGGTCAAAAGACTCCAAGCCGGAGCAGCTGGAGAGCAAGAGGCTGGCTCCGCCGCCAGAGGGCTGCTCGGTAGGCGCTGCCGTGGAACCCCAAAGCAAGCATCTGCCCAAACCCGCCAAAGCAGCCCCTCCAGAGCTCGCAAAGTGTCCTGCAGCGGGGCTGGGGGAATCGCCGAAGGAAAGCCACCAGGTCCCGGCGGGTTCTCCGAAAACAAGTCCCGCCAGAGGCCCCGCCGCCCCGGGGGAGAGCAAAGCCCCGCCGCAGCCCCCGAAAAAGATGCCGCCGAAGAGCGGCCTGCCGACCTTGGACTTCAAAAGCGAGGGCTCGACTCCGAGCCTCGAAGACGGGCCTCTGGTGAAAGCGCATTTCATCCCGGGGCAGCAGCCGCCGCCGCTGCAGCAGCTGCAGCCGCAGCATCAGCAGCTGCAGCCGGCGGGCGCCAGGCCCCACCGCGCACACCGGCACC